TTACCTGTTGTGTGTGTTTATTTGCGATTGTTTTTCCTTTAATTTAACTATATTGGCTATCTAATATGCCATCGATATTACGAAAGAGCAGAGCCCTTATTACCAAATGCTAGTGAACCTGTGCCACATCCTGAGAGGATCTAATCAATAATAATAGCCAAATTATTCAAGAACACCTGATACACATTCACGCTGCATATTTACACAATATAATGTGATATACAAATAAATACAATAAACAATATGATACAATTAAGTGAAAAATAGTCATTAAATAAGAAGCAAAACTACAGTTTTTATTTTATTCATGATTCCTACCTAACCAAGTTTTTCCTAATAGTTATTCTTTAAAATAGCACCGAATAAAATGAATTAGTTGTAATATTAATTCACTTCATACTGAGTTTATACTAAATTCATAGGTTGACCTATGTTTCATTGAATATTAAACATAACCTCAAAAAAATTTTAGTTTTCCTAATAATTTAAGTTCTCAGAAGTGTCCGTCAATAATCTTGGTTTTTACAGTCATTTACTTACGACTTTGAACATAGAAAATAATATTTCATGATTATTGGTTCTTAGGCTAACTATGTATGGACGCTGAGCAATGTCCTTTGGAGTCTCTAGACCCAGCAGTTAAGGCCGTGAGTTGATTGTTAGACAGCCAGTTAGTCAGTCAGTTCATTCTTCTAATATTTATATATCTTAAAAAATAGATAAGGTAAGCGCTTATCTATTTTATCATTATTATTCATCATTATTATTTTTAAAGATATTAACTGAATTAATGATAAAATCTTATTTGCTCTCAAATTGCCAATGCCATATTTTATACTTATTGAGATGTTAATATGTGTGACCCTTTTTTCCGTGTACGGGTCAAATTTTAAAAGGATACCGGTCAGACCCCAGTAACTTATGAAAATGTTTAAATTATTATATATTTTTTATTTTTTTTTTATTGACATTTATTGATTGATTTTGCCATTGATTATATTATTATCATGATAAATTTTGTATAGGAAAAACTAAGTAACCCAGCTTAGTTAATGTGTTGTAGTATAAAATGTACCGTAAGTGTTTTTTGCACTGTCAAAACTATGAGTCGTATACGCTGTAAGGTTGAAATACGTAGAAATATTTGGTGATTTTGATGACATTTCTAACTCGATTCTGACCAAATCTAGGTTTGGTGATTTTTCGCACTACGTGGACAAGGCATAGGTATTATACCGTAATAAGTAGATAATGTAATCTTTAAACTCAAACTCAAGTTCTTCATTGCAAACATAATGAGTTACATAACGTAACACATAATGAAACATTGCCTCTAAGTTTTCGATACTTTTTTATCTTGAGTCTGACTCACACTTGGATATTCTTCTTTATGTTACACAATCACAAATTTAATATTCCCACTTAAAATGAGTAGTACCTACTCAACAGCAAAATATTTTAAAAGCATTATGTACCTTAGTGATTTTATGTATAAAAGAATATTGATTTAAGTACTGACTGATTGCATGCGTGATTATAATTCTTCGTTAAAGTTTTATCAGTGAAGTTTTTTGTTAAATATATGCAAAAGTTTCTTGTATAAGGTAAGTTCGGGATATGAAGTAGATTTAATAAATGTATTACATCCTATGTTACCAGTGCATCTATGATTAACTAATACACTAATAAGCCTAATTAAATATTTGTTCATTTGGGGAAACCCCAGTCCTCAAAATGAGTGTGAAGTAACCGGTGTATTTTGTAATAAAAAGAAACTCGCTCATTTCGCCGCCTTTGAGCTGGACTATATATGCGGGAAGAAGTCTTCATGTAGAGAAATGGGTCACGCATAAGATGGACCTAAAAGGCATTCGGGATTTTTTCCTGATGAGGTCTGGCTCCGGAGATGCGATGTCCAATAAAGCTTTAACTTTAACCTTGTCCCATTCTGCTCCTTAGTGGACATACGATCATTCTGGAGAGAACCTGGGCAATCCATTCCTACGCATATACGTAAATACATATACATATATAAAGTCTTTACGTGAAGAATTGTCATCATTTATATGGTCGCGGATTTGTTATTTCCTTAACTATAAACAACTTAGCAGAAAATATTCCGTGATTTCAATTTCGAAGTTTACACTCACGTCAAATTATAATCTCAAGTACTGAACTATCGAACAAAATGTTCTCGCATATTATCCATTTATTATTGTGGTTTTGCTATAAAGTAAATATATGGTTTGAAACAGTATATATCTCTGACACGTGATTCATTTTACTAGCGTATTCTTATGACAATTGTAACTAACTCTACACAATGCTATCAATAGCATTATGCGCTTTTTTAAAATCCATGTTTTAAATCACCTTTTGACTTTGTTATAACCATAATATAATATTTAATCGTAAAGCATATTTATGCGTATGCTCTGATGAATGGGTGGCATTTCTTTAAGTAGAATATAGAAGATAATATGTTTATTATTTTCTTCAATATACTATATTAAAGTATATTAAAATGTCAAAAATAACTAAATGCATCAAATAAATTAGTCATAAATAATGGTATATGCTCTAAGTATAATATAATGAGAGATGATAACTACGGCAAGTCATATCAAGTGTGCACTTGAAAATATTATTATATAATCATCACATCCGACTTATCAAACAACAACATTTATTAAACAGAGATTTATAAATTCTGACGTGAGTGACGTCATAGAATAGTAAAAACACTGAGTAGGTATACAACCTATTTAAAACTTCAAATGTATATTATATATATATATATATATTATATTATATATATATATATATATATTATATTATATATATATATATATATATATATATATATAATATATAATTTTCAAGTATTATAATCATAAAGTCACTTCAAAAGCTTATTTTGCCCATATCTATGTACCTACTTACAGCACATACAGTGAGCAACACGTGACAATCGACAATGTTTCAATTGTCAAGATAAAATCAAAATGCCTATTCGAAAACTTTATACGTAAATGCATGATCGTTTTATCCTCCCGTAATGTTGGTTTAAGAAATCTGTCACTTTATAGAGTGCGTAACTATGATTGAAATCTCAATAGGTTAGTATTCATAATCACACTGCGTCCGTTTGGGGGGTGATAGACTATTAAAGTTTCGACGACTTGAGATTTATATACATAATACTCACGATTGCCCGCGACTTTGTTTGCGTTTGAGTACCCACTAATCTGCAAGGCTACAAGGCCTTTGTGGTGGGTCATGGTCATGGCTCTTTCTTCCGTCCCTATGAAGTTTTCCCTATTTTGTGTTTATGAAGATGATATAGTTATAATTAGGTCATAATTGTCTTTTTGTTAAAAGAGTAGCAAACAACCGTACGAAATCATGGAAAGCGGCTACCCTATCCTATAGACGCTTGCGATACCAAAAATATCACTCGCACCATTGAATTCCCTACCCTGTGGAGGCCTGGAACCTTACTACCCGACAGAAATACAACACCACCAATAGGTAGTGTTATTTTACTGATCTGTAAGTTGAAGGTTACTTCCCCGGACGGGCGTTTCAATTCGTGCGGAAAGTCCGCCATGCCCTACCTCTCTTAATGTATCCTATGAACAGTTAATACGAAAGTTGTTTAAATGCCACGATCGCAGACCGAACGCTGTGCCATCGAGGTCCTCATCGAATGAATGTTATTATTATTTTATTTATTATGATAAGAATATCCTGAAATACTTACTATAGTTTGATTAAAACTATTGGTAGACCACCTGGTTACCAGCTCATATTACAGAACAAAAGGCACATGTAGCGTACTCGCATTCGCGCATTTCTAAGGAGTCAACTACCCGCGGGGGAAAACACTTAGGTTATTCTCTATCATATCTAAGTAGACTAAGCGTTTCCCGAAGGGCCTTCTACTGCGTTTATTAAGATTGCTCGGAATAGATGACGGATAGTCTTCAGCTCTGATGAAGTCCGATACGGTCGTTTCCAACCACGCTTGGGTTTATTGAGCTTTATGACCCGGTGCTGAGTTTTGCTGAAAGGGTCAATCTTCGTTATGAAACATAGTGTTGTTAAGAGGCTTAACCAGCTTCTTAAGAATCGTATCTTGATATACTTGTGCCGATGCTTTGACACCTTTTTCACAAATATGGGTGAGACATTCCTTCATAGCTAACACCCTACCAAACCATCACTGAAGTTAGAAAATATCCACATTGTACTCTGATGACTTATTGGGAAGCTGCTACAGATCTTCGAGCATAAATTCGGTCAATATGCTTGTTAAAATATTGCTCAATAGCAAACATTTTCTCGTCAGTAAATTTTTTTATGATCTCTCTTTGCGTATTGATTAAAAAGTTGTTTTGATTTTACCACCCTACTCGGTTCTCTTTATCTCCCCACTCCATTATCGTGAAAATATCTAAAAACCAATTGAGGCGAATATAAAAAAATAACAAAATGAATTCTTAAAAGAATGACAGACTCCAAATTCAAATGATTTTTTTTATATTGTAACAGTATTTATGACCGGACTAAGTATGTATAGACGATCATTGGGCACAAGCGTACCGAATGTTTTTAATTACAAACAAATTAGTAGCGAAAAAGAACGCACGCTCGTTTAAAAAAAATTATTTAGTACCATAAAAAAGTTTTGTTACGATTGCCAAGGAGTAGGAAATTCGGAAGGCACGAACGATATCAAGTAGATTAGTTACCTTGGCTTATGCGGTAGTGATGGAGTTAAACACTGTGTCGTCAGTTTCTGGGATATTTCCTTAAATGTTTCAGCTGTAGCCACTAGTCATGACACTTCGAAGTTAAGTGGTACAAGTGTCGGTCGTCTGTAGTATGCTTCACGTATATGTGTTTCACTACAGTAGTGTAATGAACCAATAATGATAAGAGGAGTGTAAATAGTCACTGATTTAATTTGTTTCTCCTTTATAGGTATCTAAACGAAAATGTTGACAGGATGGCGACTCGTTTTGTCAAAATGTAAGTATATTTTTTTATATGATTAATATTGTGTCTATAATCAAACCTTAAAAAACAATAAGTTAAAAATAAATTCGAAGATTCGATTGAGTCGGTACCTAATCTAGTTATTTACGAAAAACTACAATACTTTTTGTAATTAGGTACAACAATTGATAAGTAATTCAAAAAAGGATGAAAAGTGTTGAAGCAGGAATATACTTAGATACTTATCAATAACCCGAATATATTTTAATAATATATTCATATAAGTAATTTTAGAATAAACATATTATTAGTTAGATGTTTTTCATGGACGCAGCATTTGAAGGTTAGTTTCGACTTCCGTAATGAACCTGGTGCTGCATAGATCGCTAAGACCTCGCCACAGATCGCTTGTTCGATTCCTGATCGGGTCAATAACATTAATTAACATTTCTGCTTTACTTAGACTCTGAGTGGTTGCAGTACCTATATTGTTTTTAATGAACACGCCATAACTATAATAAAAGTGCTTCAGTTATTTTATAATCCGCTTGGGAAAGCGTATTGTCCACAGTCATAATATTGATTACTTCGTGCATTTTATGTTATGGTTTAACGCTAAATAAATATGCATTGAATGTTGTGAGGATAACGAAAGTTTTATTGAGACATCGTATTTGGTTATATACACACATCAAAAGTGTCTAGGGATCAAGCATTTTTATGCGGATTTCTTGAGATTGAGATGTGGCTTTGTAATAAATTTATGATTTTATAAATTTATATGGATCCTTTTTGGTGCATTTCATAATTTGAATCAGGAACTGTGAATCAAATTCGAGTAAAAGATGAAAATCAGCTGTCAATATTTTCCCTATAAAAACATACAACGCATTGAAGACATTATTAGTGCTACTGTTTCCCTACTACTGATTAAGACCAACGTTATTATGGAGCGGCGACGTCATTTAAGCAGGGAAGAAATGCTCAGAGCCGTGGGAATGATAGAAGCTGGTTCCCGGCAACGTACTGTGGCTTTAGCTCTGAATACAAGTCAGAGTGTTATCAGTCGACTTTGGACACGATACCGAAGCACTGGTACCGTGGCTGAGCGCCATGGAGGACGGTATCGCTGCACCACACGGAGACAAGACCGATACATTCAAATCTTAACTCGAAGAGCTCCAACAATAACCGCCATGATGTTAGCCGTGAGGCTTCATCACTCTTCAGGGAACTTAATTAGCGACCAAACAGTCAGAAACCGCTTGCATGAAGTGAACCTTCATTCCCGAAGACCGCTACGGGTACCACCTATAGCAATGCACAATCGTAGGATTCGATATCAATGGGCTCTTGAACACAGAAATTGGGCAGAAGAACAATGGCGTTTCGTGTGCTTTTCTGATGAGTCTCGTTTTGGTATGAGACCGGATACAAGACGTATACGACACTGGAGAACCCCTGGACGCCAACAGCGATTAAAATCCTGCCAGGAAGTCCATCCTTATAGTGGTGGAACCATCATGGTATGGGCGGGTATTTGGATCGGCGGAAGAACTGAGTTGATTTGGATCAGAGGCAACCTCAACGCTCAAATTTATGCTGAGACGATTGTATCAGACGTCATCGTTCCTCTACAAGTGCAAATCGGTCCCTTATTTCAGTTAATGCATGATAATGCACGACCGCACACCGCAAGAGTTGTAAGACAGACTCTCGCCGCAGCTAACATCAATGTCCTGCCCTGGCCTGCTCAGTCGCCAGACTTGAACCCGATTGAGCATGCATGGGATATGCTACAGAGAAGAGCTCTGCCGAATATGGAGGGTATCCAGTCGCAAGAAGACCTTTTTTTGTTGTTGCAACGAACATGGGCGGCCATTCCACAGCGTGATTTGGATGAACTCATTTTGAGTATGCCAAACCGATGTTCTTGTGTTGTTAGTGTTCGCGGTAGAAATACGGATTATTAATTGTTTAAGTTACCCAATAAAATTTTAGAGAAAACTGTTATTTCAGTCTTTTTTTCGAACTTTTGTGTTAGTGGTTCAAATGTCAAAAATCCCTTTATTAGGAAAATGGCAAATTTCTTTATTAATGCAAAGGTGACTTGGTTTATCGTTACTGTGACAAACGAAAACACTTTATTTGATGAATCCTTAAAGAAAATTTTAATTAATATCAATCAGGAGAAAAGTTATTGCAAAAATATATGTTGATCCCTAGACACTTTTGATGTGTGTATATATATTAAGCGTTTAACTGCTAGATGTTTAAATCTAAAGCAAATTTTACTAGAAAAAAATCCAAATAACGGGACTCGAACCGGAGCCATTAGGCCCGGGGTAGCAAAATGGTAAGTGCATCTGCCTGGATAGCGGAGGGTGTCCGTACGTGTCCCGTCTGCTACCAGACCCGCGTGGATTATTTTCTAGTAAAATTTTCTTTAGATTTAAACATCAAGCTGTTAAATGCTTAAAGAATAAAAATATAACTACAATTGCTACTTCTTCTTTCAAATGTTTTGCGAAGAGAAGGCGCAGCCTTGCAGATAAAAAAATACTAGAAAGAACTCGACACGGCCATTGAGGCCACGGTAGTACAAATAGTATTTGGTTAGTTTAAAATATGTATATCAGAGTCATTTTGAAATATCAACATAATTATAGACGACACCAGATAGGATCTTCATGATTTTCTCAAGGAAATTGCTTTATGAAAAAAAGATACTATAGTACACACACAGAATATTCTTATTCTTCTTTATAAGTAAAAAAACATATGTATATGCAAACAAAAAGTACTAGTTTTGAAATAACTACCCGAGGTAATATTTCATATTTAAACAGTCAAAAAACAACGCAGAATATCCCAAATTAAAATTAAATGTGACATGAGTTTCGACTTTTTGAAAGGTTATTGAAAATACAGAAAAATAAGTGCATTTCTACTTACACTAAGTTCATAATATGTACTTAAATATGTTTATTAATTAAAAATTATCTACGATGCAGTTTCACTATTCATTCCTTTTATTCCAGGATAAATCTACTGAGACAAATTATATTGTTCTTATATTTCTCAAGCAGTTAAAAGTCCCGTAGGTTACGAATTAAACAGTAATAATCAAAACAGATGTATTATTATGCTACCAAGATCAGTAATAAAAACCATAATTTAATTGTTTACACTGAAATTACCTACAGCAGTTTCTCTTAGTGCGTTCTTATTGGCTGTTTATATATTAGTATGTATTAGTTTACTTTTCGTCAGTCTTTTATTTGTTTCGTATATCATAATCACATTAACATAGTTTCTTTTAATTATTTTAATAACCAGCTGGTGCTTTGGTTTTGCTCCTATCTTCTGAGCCAATAGTCTTGAGTTCGAATCGGTATTCATTTCACGCGATGACCTAAGAGATGTAACACTAGGATGTTCATCAGATATTTGTTCCAAACAATGGTTTGCTAGTTTGAATACCTACATATTTCTAGACCCACTTGCATCAAATTTCTTTATTCAAATTAAAGCTTAATCGTGTTTAACACATTATTCCATCTTTGTCAATTGATTAAGGTCAAATAGAGATAGAAGGCTTACAAATCATTGGCTTTCAAATTTGAATGAAGAAATTTGGTGCCAGTGTAGGTAAAATAATTGATTTACCAATGGCCCTAAATCATTAAGTTATTTTTTTTTGAGTTAAAGTTTATATAATTAATTAAACTTTATTCATGGTTGTAATTCAATATTATGGGAAAATATGTGAATCAGAGAACTTTGAATTTAGTACTTTTTATGGAATATTACGCGACCCGCAACGAATCCTTTATACTCGTATTTTTATGACAAATTTTAAATGTACATTTATTTATAATATGTTGTACCTATAAATAGATAAAAACAAAAAATTTAATAAAAAAAATACAGTATAGTCCAGAATTTAGTCTATAACTATGCAATTAATATATTATTGATCTCAAGGTGTCGCCCACTCAGAGGTCCCGGGTTCGAATCCCGGTGAGGCAAATGTATTTGCGAATACGAGCATTTATACGTTAGTCATGGGTATTCTTCGTAGTCACTTTTATATGTATCAGTATATGTATTCTATTATTCCATAACACAAGCCCTTCAGTGCTTACTTTGAAGCTAGGCTAATTGGTGTGTGCTTTAGAAATATACATTTATTTATTACTTTCTTCGCAGTGTTCATAATACCGCAGCGGTATGTGTTGGCGATCATGGCTTTGCTGGCTGTGGCCAATGCATACACCATGCGGGTGTGCCTGAACCTCGCCATTACTCAAATGGTCAGGAAATCATCTTCGGGCGAAGGTGGCCACTACGACCCTAATGCTTGTCCGGACCTCAGAGTGACCGAACCGGCTTCCAACTCCAGCACTTTTGGATACAGAGACGATGGGGTAAGTAACGCAATTAAGAGAGGAATATTTCACACACACTAAGCGGCATTTTTAAGAGACTCATATATATACTTATATATACATTGACATACTTACGCATCCTCAGCCGAGTTTTCAGCAAGGTAGGCAGAGAGAACAGAGGCCCCCAAGCACGAATTTGGACAGTTCCTTAATCGTATCGTTATCATAAAATATGGTATGTAAAGAGCCAGCTTGTTCTTATGTCCAGCACTGTTATTCTGTAAAATTTTCACGCGCGGATCCGATGAGGATCCGCGGGGATTTATATCGGATCTGCGTGTGAAAATTGTACAGTATAGCAGTGTTGTAGGTGCGCTGCTTAGTTTTCATAGTAACTATGGGGAATCGATACGATTTCGGAGCTGTTAAAGTTCTTGCTTGGGCCTCTGAGCACTATAAGTCCATAAATACATTTTAATGCTTCCTTCCTACATTCTTCTTTACGGTTAGTATTTCTATAACTTGACTTTTGGTGCCTAGTTGAAAGTGCGAAAATAGGAAGCGTGTGAAATATGCAATTTCATTCAAAACTCTTTTCATACAATATCTTTCTTCTAAAAAGTTTACGTTAGGTTAAAGCGTGACAATGTTCTCTCATTTAGGATCAGAATTTACGGAACAAATATCGCTAGCACAGCTGTAGTCCATGGTCGTATTAGGCATGGATTGGGTCTACTTTGTTCTTAAGAAACAAAACAATAGAAACAGGTTTGGAAATAAATTCCGAAACACGATATCAGATTGTTACTAGGCGTATGGTCAAATTAACCAGCTAACCTTTATTCTTTTCTACCACTCGCAGTCCCACAAAACTCTTAAGGTAATTACATAGTTTCCCGTAAAAGACTGGCAGCGTATGAAAAAAAAAGGTTTTTGTAAACCATTATCATTCCAGGCAGATATTGGCAACATATTCGGAAACTGTTTTATCTTAAAGGGATTGTCATTGTCAACCTGCCAATATCGTTTCCGGACAGCATCTTGGATCCAACGAATTTTATAGTATATATCATTGAGATGTAAATGTGAGTGATGTTTGTTTATACAGTTTTCCCTATTAAACTGCACCTTTTAAGACCGCACCGCAAGGGATATGCAGCGTGAAGGTGTGCATTGTAATGTAATACTTAATAGACTCAGAAATTGAAACTTGGCAGCCGAATGTTTGTTTTCTGCACAGCAATATTTATTTAATAAATAAATCTCCACTGTGATATTCTAAAGGCATCCGTTGTTGTCAGTTAGTGAATAATGTCACTAAGGTTGTATTTGGTAAAATAATATTATCAATTATGGCAATGTCCTTGTACATCCTATGTATAGAACAAAGACTTTTAAAGGTCTCTTTAAAATTTTCAATTATTAGATTGCGAGGTCTGACCAAACCTATTTTCCGTGTTCAATTCGATTAAATATTTATATTATTCCAATACTGTTGTAAATTTTCCTCAAATCCTTTTACTGGCGCGAGGACGGGGAAGCACCGATCTTGAACTTATTACAAGCTCAAAGTAAAGGGGAGAGTACAAAATTGATATTCATTTAAACTTACATTTAATCGGCAAAGGCAACCAGAGACCTAGGATTTTACTAAGTTTTGTTCAAAATTGATATCATTTGAAACATATGAATTGGAAAATCTGAAATTATTAACATGAGTTAAAGTTACTCCTGCATCTGGAGCACTTATTATTATGTTATGCGTTCTCAATTTAATATAAGCTATTGAAATCCAAGGGTGCTAAAGTTGTATGGAAGTCTCTATGAGTATTAATGACATTTAAAGGAACGCCAAAATGGCAACAAAAGCTTCTATCAAAAATTGTTTCGAAAAAAACAAGGCTCGGCAAGGCTTTAAGGCATAACTTCATCGTTCCAAGGAGTTAACTATAAAATTCGACAATCAAAGAAAACTTGGCTGTATGTCAGCTATTAACTTCCTTTCGTCTACGGAACTAAATTCTTAGGTATCTTAATAAAAAAACTGTGATTTTAGATCCTTGATTTTAATGCGGATTGCTAAATTATTGTCATTGTATAAAATTAAACTGAGAAAAAATCCTAGCGAAAACGACTCTGATATAGAAATGGAAGCTCAAAACATTATTGATGGGATTTTGCCCAAAAAATCTAAAGATCAATTTATAAAAGTTATGAAAAGTGCAGAAATGGATAAAGAATGATCCAGTGGAGTTAGTTCCTAAATCTTTACTTTCAGTGTACTTAAATCTAAAGAAAATACTAAAAAAAAATCAGCAAAAAAGGCAGCAGACGGTACTTTCAACATTTATCACATTAAATTTCCATAACTGGCCTATAGTTTGAATAGGAAAAAAATGAGAATAAAAACATTTATTTTTGTTATAGTTGGTATGGTCAACAGTTGTTGAGATCCCCTTTTAAGTGTAACACCTGTGACAGAGAATCTTACTCCTACAAATTTGTAATTTCAAAAACTAGAATAAGTATACCTCTACCCAAGTCTAGACGTTCATAATAAAAAATAACATTCATTAGGAAAAACCAAAAATGATACAGATCTAATACGTACGCTTAAGAAAATAAAATAAAAGTTTCACCTTTTATTTTTATTTTTTTAATAAACTTACTTTTAATTGAATATGTTTTTTTTTAATTTAACTTCCAGTAGGTGTATTAAGTAGATTATGCTTCTCAGGGATAAACGAGTCTTAGGCCCGTATTACAGAATGACAACTAAGTGTTGATCTTTACTTGAGTACAGTTAGAAAGAAATGTTGATGTCGCTATATGCTATATATAGCGACATCCCTTTGTAACTATGCTCAAGACTAGATCAATCACTGAGAATCTTTCTATAATACGGGCCTTGGTCTTGGACAGACTTAAATACTTCGCTTTATTCAGGATTCTCACTATTATTACAATAATCCTTCATTTCACTCTACTTTATCCCGTTGTTGCTTAATCTACTATTATGGCATTTGATAAATAATTTTTGAAAGATTGAGAAAAATTTAAAACTTAGGTAAATTGGGTTTTGAATTTACTAAATGATTATAGCTTGTAAATTTTGACATTCGAAATCCGATTTTAATCATTAATGTAACCGTCAAACTAGTTAGAGTTTATATGTTTAGGAAAGCATAATATTCCTTTATTTTTCACCATAAAAGGTTTACTGGCAATTTGCACTATTTGCAGAAAAATAAAATTGCTTAAAAATTATTAGCATTCGATAAACAAATAAAATTTAAGAATTACACGAGTAAAGAACTAATAGATCTTGCTATTTAATTTGTTTTACACATCGTTATTTACATCGTTATCTAAATCCTTCTTATTCTTGCTTCTTCAGAGTTTATGAATTATTTAAGATAGCGTTGTTTAATTTTTTATTATTTATTTATTACGTATTGTTATGAAAGTATTTTATCGCAAGTCTTCCCAGATTAAAATACTTAAACAAGTTTCAAATGTACGTGGAATAGGTACTTATATGAACAATATATTAAAATTGATGGTTTAAGTTATTCGTTGAGGACCTAAGGTCATTTAATTTTATAGATAATTCTTAAACTTTACGGTCATAAGGAAAGTTTTCACAATAGTAGCAGAAAACTAATATTATTTGAAAATAAAAGAATTTTTATTTCATCGACCTTGAGCTGGCGATAACGTGACGAGTTTATGACAGGTACTTACAAATTTAATTTACTCAAAGAGAATATACTTTGTTTTCATCTTATAGAATGTTTGTTACAGTTATATTGCATGTTTGAAAGAGTTTGATTATAGCGTAAATCAGAAATCACTTAGAAGACAATTTTGTAAGGGCTTATTTTTTACTAGGCAGAGTCCCACTCCACCTGATGTTTGTATTGGATTCAAGAAAAGCAATCCTCACCCAATCTCATACACACTGTTGCCTTGGCAATCTTAATTTTTTTTGAGTGTGTATGCTGTTAATCGCAGATGACCTTTACAGCGTCACCGGGTTTGGGGACGGCGAGATCCTAAGGGGACCTCAAGCCTAGAATTGGCGTGTACCTCTAGAGGTATTCAAGGTGGATAGCATCTCCCCACGGAGGGAGTCTACTCTCTGTCTGGAGCCTCTAGACCACTCAAATCTGAGGAGGTCGGCTCAACTAGAGGGCATCTCTGAGACTCGGACCTCGGCTCTAGTTAGCCGTTGTCGTGGGGGGTGGGGAAAAACGCACAGGCACCTGTACCTGGTATATAGCGTGTCGTGTGTAGACCGAGTCTTCGAACTCTTATCCTATGGGTGCGGTGTCTACCTAATGCTAAGCTTGTGTGCAAGTTTGCTAGCTGTGTAGTGTATGCGGGTGTTTGTTGTCTGTGTGGGAGGAGTCGGAGGCGCGTTGGCGCGGGTGATATCATCGTTAGGGTACTCTAAGTCGTGCCTAGGCCGACGAAATCGGAGGGACCAATGATTCGAGGATGGAAGGGCGGAAGTGTGATAACTAATGGTTTTAACTACTAAGGGGTTCGGATGATGATGATGCTACCGACGGACCCCGTGACGGCAGCCCCCCCTAGTAGTTCTGTCTTGCAAAGAGGGGGCGGCGGAAGGAGCTACACGTGCACGCCCAAGTAGCCCTCCGCTGCGGACGGGGGGCGGTACGGTGGGCACTAGGCCGCGTACTCAGCCCCCACGCGCGGGCCATCCTACGCACGTCTGCGGGGTCCCCGCGATACCACGGGAGACCCCTGCCGTGGAGCCCCGGCTAGGCCGGGAGGCTGCTGGATGCGGGGACGCGGAGTATCCCTAAACGGGGATCCCGCGACTTCGCATCAAGCAGCTTAGAGGGTATTCGCAGGGTTTTTTAGCGGATATTATGCCGTAAAGTGCCCGTAAGAGTTGCGGGGTCCTCAGTAGGCAGCCACTGCGGGGGTTCGTAAGGTTTGCGGGAGCCAGGTGTACCGTTCAGCGGTGTGCCTCTTAAAAGCGCCGTCGTCCGTAAACAGAGATTTTGCCTGCGTCACAAAAAAAAGGTTACAAATAGCCTTAATAGAGAAAATTTTCTTTCCCTCGGGGGAAAGATCACGAATGACCAAGAAGAGGTTATACGTCTACCTGTCCTAAGTGAACAGGCCCTGGGACTTCAGGTTCTCGAGAATTAAATCCGCGTCGAACTCCTTCGGCAAGCCGCGGATGAAAACGAGGAGTATTCTCTCCTCGGGAAGAGAGTAAGTGTGTAAGCCAATCCTGGATTGGCCGAGAAAGGGTGAGCTTACGGTGCTCCGCGGAGACACCGACTTGCACCTTGACGCCGGTCGCGGTGGTGAGCATGTGGGTGTCATTAAAGTGTGTGTCGATCAGTAATTTTGAAACGGAATTCCAGGAATAATAGCCTGGATAAAGTTCGGAGGTGGATGGGCGTGTGGAGCCCATGTTGGCTTTGGCGGTTTTTGAAGGTGGATTTGATTGCTCGGAATCGGATCCCGAGAAGGAGTCGGTAGAGATTTTGGCTTTGCGGGGCCTCTTTCCCCCTTTCAACTAGCAGTCATCGGTCCTGAGAGCGCTCGTCGTCGACCTGCATCTGAAGCCTGGAGAACCTGAAGAAGATGCATCGGGGGAAATCAGGACGTCGTCATGGATCAAAGGAGTGGCGGATTTATGCGCTGAAGGCGGTGGACATGGGGTGGTTTGTGCAGAAGGCATCTGTGGTCGGTTTGCGCTGAAGGCGCAAAACGGGGGTGGGCTAAGCTAAAGGCATCGGACCCGGGGCGGAAAGCGCAGAAGGTGGGAGATCACGTAGACCGTAAGTCTCCTTCAGAAATCATAAAAGTCCAGGCGGGATAGCTGAAGGTTCAGAGCCTCCGACCTGACCTCCTCAGTCATGACCGCTGGAGCGGGTGTTAGCGTATGTGAGGGCAGGGGGTGAGGGCGTCAGCCCTTCCTACCGTAACAGGGGGGCGTGTATCTCTTATCCCTAAGTGATGATTGCCGAGGGGTAATTACCTTTTCTTACAGAGTCCAGGCGATGGGCTGGTACGAAACTGCACTACACTAAACTACATACACTGCACAACCAATGTTAATTAAAAAATTGAATCGCGACGGCCGAAGCATGGTGGCCATCCTGCGCACGTCTGCGAGACCTCGCAAAGCAATCGACCTCGAGAGACCCCAGCCGTGGAGCCCGGGTAGGCCGGGAGGCTGCTGGGTGCGGAGAAGCGGAAGAATCCCTAAACGGGGACCCCGCGGCTTCGCACTATGCAGCTTAGAGGGTATTCACAGGGTTTTTAGTAGATATTATGCCGTAAAGCTCCCGTAAGAGTTACGGGGTCCTCAGTGGGCAGCCACTGCGGGGGCTCGTAAAGCTTATGGGAGCCAGGTGTGAGGTCCGTTCGGCGGTGTGCCTCTTAAAGGCGCCGTTCTCTGAAAAAAGAGGTTTTGCCTGAGTTTACAAAAAAAAGTCTCCCTTGTCTATGGTCGTTACTCAAGTAGTTTTCCGGGGTGTATAGTTAGACTCACGTGGGCAAGTTACTTTCCTGGGAAATTCATTATTCTCCAACACTCTTATATGATGAAATAAAAGTTGGAACTCATAGTTTAATTTTGGAAGATATTATTGTAATGGCTAACCTATCATAGCAGGTTCATTATTTTTATTCAATAACTTAGATACCTATTCAATTTATTCCAAAAGACATAGATAGCATCATTCTGGACGGTTACAATAGGTATTTAAATAACTCATTTATCCACTTGATGTTGAAATTTACTTATTTTGATGCTATTTACCTACTTTATAACGATGATTCAATATAACGGCGCTAAGAGCATGCCAGATCCTCTAAAATGGACCGTAAATTATAATTAAGATGGAATTACACTACTACGGTCTCCTCTAATTAAGACACAAACAGCCGTTGCTATAAAATGTCTAATTATATTAATTTTGAAGTTAAATAAATGCTCGAAGATATTAAATAATATTATAACAAAGATGGTATAAAAACCTTGGAGTGTTAGTAAAACACTGGACAGCAAATATATCATTCATTCATTCATTCATTCATATATAAGTAGATTATATTATTAATAACGATGAGTAAACTTGTTACAGCCTGTATTATTCGACTGGAGTGAAGCGACCCAAGGGTTGATCCTAGGTTCTTTCTACTACGGATATATATTGACTCACATCCCTGGAGGCATGCTTGCGGAGAAGTTCGGAGGGAAGTGGGTACTGGGTCTTGGCCTGCTGTCAACAGCTATCTGCACCATCATCACTCCGATCACGGTGAAGATGGGAGGAGCCCCAGCTCTGTTTGTCTTGAGAGTCATTGAAGGTTTTGGAGAGGTGAGAGATGCAATGTCAACAAAAGGAAATAGTGAACAATTCGAAGTTACGAAATTGCCATATAAACTTATTTATTGGCTAAAACCACATGAGTAATGCTTCTCTCATACCTGCGCGACGAAGCTTGTTACTAAATGCGCTTAAATTAGCGTTCTAATTTTGAATTAGTCTTAGTGTAACGATTTTATCGAGCTGCAGGATGATAGACGCTAAACGATAGGTTGACCCGCTCGGTTTTTGACATACTTCAAAGCGTTCCTGCAAACTTCGCGACGACGACAAATTTGTATGTGCAGTTGAAGAATACGCCCCGTCTTTTACCTTACGGTAGAACTCATTCAAATTTCTAACGCTAATTTTAGCGCATTTAGTACCAAAACATCGTCGCGCAGGTGTGGGAGAAGAATAAAGTAGACACTGAGGCAAAGCTTTATGTAGTGCGCATGTGTGACTGAGCACTGGTGGCCGCAAAAAGAAACGTTTCTCTGTTTACGCGACGGGCCGTCAGTGCTCACTTACACACGCACAACTGTATGAAGCTTTGTCTCTGTGCCTTCTTTACTCATGTGCTAAAACTGTTTGGGAAAGTCAACAGCTTCCGCTCGCACCCATTAAGGTTTTTAAGTACAAGTAAATAGAACAAAATATTTTTTGTGTTTCAAAACGAATAGCCGTTCCTAAAAACCAATTCAGATAAAAGATTAGATAACCACGACTCGTTGGCAAACCTTGCTTGATTTAGTGATTAAATTGTGATAAGACCTTTTCTTACGGAGGATTTGTGTTGACTATTAGTCAAAATCATTGTACTAAGAGAGGTAGGGCACAGCGGCTTTTTGGTCGAATTGGGGCACCGTCTGAGGAAGCAAACCTTACAGAAAATAACACTTCCCTTTGGTGACGTTGTGTTTCTGCTGGTGAGAAGGGTTCCGCGGGATAGGGGACTAGGTTCTGGCTGGCAAAGATGGCTGCAGCGACACACCTGCCGCATCTTCGCGACTGGACTCCACTTACACTTAACATCAGGTGGGGTGGGGTAATTTGAGCTTCGTATAAAAAACCAACTATTATTATAAACAAAAAGAGAGGACGGCTACGTAAGTGGAGTCCAGTCGCGAGAATAGCTCAGAAGACAGGAGAGTATCTCGCTCTAGCCATTGGACGTGTTGGCTTGAACTTTACACCGCATGGACTAGGAATCAAATCCAGCCAATATTGATATAAACTTAATCTAAATTTCAAATATTTTAACTCCATTTTTAGAGTTTCCTATCCTGATGACAAACGGATCAGCTGTTTGTTTGCCTGTGTCAGGGATATATCTCTTAAATTAAGCCTCATCCTGTATCTAAACAATTGAAAAATAGGGAACGATACACAGAATTGAGCAGGATAAGGCTTTCATTTAATCTTAGAATGTTGGTGCAAATAGCCCACAGTGTAGGGGAGAGCCGGGAGACTTACCCAGGTGGGAGAGTTAAACCATCTTTGTATCTTGTATTTGAATTTAGCGCAAAAAAAACTTCAATTCGTTCATTGGTTACATGCCAGATACTTTTTTTATGATTGCTGTAAATTTTAAAAGATGGTTCAATTCTCCTACCTGGGCAAGTCTCCCGCTTTTGATCTAGTTGTTAATAAGGCTACATTTTCTTAAATAGTTATGTCATTTTTCTAGGGTCCAACAATGCCTGGGATGATGGCAATGCTGTCTCGTTGGGCGCCAAAGGCTGAAAGAGCCAGATTTGGTGCCATAGTGTTCGGTGGCGCCCAGATCGGGAACATAGCTGGTTCTTACTTCTCCGGTCTGATCATGCACAATGGAAGTTGGGAGGATGTATTCTACATGTTCGGTGGTTTAGGACTTCTTTGGTTTGCCTTATGGGTAAGAGTCAAAATTCACATTCATTTTCATTATTTTTGTCACTTATGTGTAATAACTGATATTGAATAGTATATATTTCCTGGTGGTCGATATACACAGATCTGTGTGATCCCTCTCCTTCCTAGCAAAAAGTAGAATTATTATTACTCATCGTACTACTTATTGAATGATTATTGACTACTGATTGACTAATTATTATGGGAATTCTATGTTTAACGTTTACTGATACTGATTAATGGTTCTAGACAAATCATAGGTATTTAGGTATTTCTTAAAAGATACTAAACGATTATTGTGAAGTTAGCGCAAGTCACAGCATAGTAACTATAGGTATGAAATATACTACTGATAGCAATATAGCATACAGTAATGTGGCCCTACGCATAGTTATGCGACATTACTGTAAAACTGTATTTGACTTAAGTACTTACTGAAATAACATTTTCAAATAATATTATAAATCTATTTTAAATTTCAGACTGTTCTATGCTACAGTACGCCAAATACTCACCCTTATATTTCGGATAGTGAAAAGAAATTCTTAAATGAAAATGTGGACTCTCTTAAGAGTCTTAACGAGAATAAGTTGGAGCCTATACCATGGAAAGCATTACTTCGATCCGTGCCTCTTTGGGCCCTGATTATTGCTGGTGTAAGTATGATGTAGTTACTATGTATAGCTATGTAGTAACTCCTAATCTGTGATACAGCGTACTTGAGCTTTGGGACTGCACTTTGACCCGAACTAGTAATTTTGATACCTTTCAAGCATTTTGCTTATGTTACCATCTAATATGAATTACATACCTATATGAATTACAACGATTGCTCATGAATAGATAAGAACGTTTGTGACGTTGGGGGGTCGTGATGGTCGGTATTGGTTCGCGTCCGTATGTATTGAGTCACTATAATCATACCCACAGGGTTGCTGATTTTTTTACACTATTTGCATGCTTATTATGCTGCGTTTCTACATAATGCTTAGAGCAGTTCTGAACGAGCAAACATTTGTTCGGTCGGTAAATAGAATGCTTAAAACAGTGTTGCGTTGTTTTCATTGATGACTGAGCAAAAGAGCATTCGTTCCGAGTCCAGTCAAACATCGTTGTACGAACTCTTGTAGTACTATTCTGAGCTTAAATGGACACGCAAAGTGCAGCAAGTTCAATCCCTAAATAACAAATTCCATTTAATATCGTGTTTGATGCTAACATGCTTAATAAACATCTCGATTACTGTAACAGCAGTCATTGATACAAAGTGAATATTATCATATGATAATTAATTATTATTTATTATGTAATAATTAATACTAAATATGTCGTTAATCCTGCAATCCAAAAAAATTAAATCATCGGATTTTGAAGATTTGACAATCAAAACAAAAGGGGGACAAGTAGCTAATATGAATTTAAACATGATCGCTATACTCACAGTATTTGCTAAAATTGTTTGCTCTTACTAACGTCACACCAGTTTAAGTGAGCACTCTCAAGTAGCTATTTAAATTCCACACTGTACATCATGACAAACTCGTTTCAAACGATTGCAATCTTCAAATAAGATAATGTTTTCATGTTCTCGAAGTATACTGTGTCGAACAATAACGTACTGTTTTTGTTATTGCCATAGTTGAATTGTGTTCATTTAACTTCACAAAATCAAAAAAATAATATTTTACTCACGCGATTTTATCACTCGCTGTCTTGCAATTTGTGGGAGTGTTTTCATGAAATGGGACGGAACAGGAAGTCGGGAAAGCGCGCGCTATTTGATTTTATTTTAGAATACAATGTTAATATTGTTAATTTATTTTGTTTGAAGTAGGTTTTTTAACTAAGATACGATATCAAATGTTACATAATGCTTACACATCCTATGCAGCTGGCTCGCTTGTTTTTTTATTATTATGAGAGTCAATTTCATGGATTTTCCAATGATCTTTTATAAATTAGAATTTCGATTATAGTCATTTATATTGCATAGGGATCAACGTGTTCACTTATTGGAAGACCGCAATATATTCAAAATAAATACATATAGAAAAGTTTACGGGTGTTACTTTATAAACACACATACGTGTTTTAATATCCCTCATTATACAACAGTTGCATAATAACTTTTAAATTATTTGCTTTCAGATTGGTCACGATTGGGGATACTTCACAATGGTCACAGATCTCCCTAAATACATGACAGACGTCCTCAAATTCAATATCAAGTCTACTGGTATTCTTTCTGCTCTTCCATACGTGGCTATGTGGGTATCCTCCTTCTTCTTTGGGCTCGTCTGCGATTTTTGCGTTAAAAGAAACATCCACTCTATTACGAATGCAAGAAAAATTTACACAACAATTGGTAAGTGGGCATATTTATAGATTCCGAATAAGCTTGACCTGGGTAATAATAATATCTACGTTATACTATCGATCAAAATATATACAAAAAAAGTTCAGAATTCGAAAATTAAACTATAAAATGTGTAGTACTAAGCATATTGGAATTATAAACTTTAGTTTATTCTTCACAATTTGAAACCATCTATCATTTTATTTCATATTAATATTTTCTCTATACACTTGGTTTCGTTATATGATTGTCATATAAATTAAATCTTCAGTTCACAGTATCGAAAAGAGATGTGATAATTTAGAATAATTCACACAAAAATACAGGTAAATAATCATCTGTTCAGAATATGACTAAATCGATACAAGATGAAGGCATGCATATATATGGGAAGGGGTGATTAATACGCCATTCGTCTTGACCAACACTAGGATAAATTATTCATTAATCTCATATCACATTCATTTTGTAATATATATCTATCTTTTTCAGATCTGATTTTCGCTCCGTATAAATCAATTAATTAGCTTTTTAACCATATCTATAATAATCTCTTGTAATAGATCTATTAATTGGACATTATGCAAACTTATGAGGAGTGATTTCTTTATCCTCATATTTTTTTTTGTTATCTTATAGTTGCAAACTCATTCTTTCATATTTGTTTTTTCTTCCAGCCGCCACCGGTCCCGGTATTTGTATCATCTTGGCATCATACTCTGGTTGCGACACCACCCTCGCGGTTTTCTGGTTCGTTTTCGCCATGACCCTCATGGGTGCCTACTACAGTGGGATGAAGATCAATCCATTGGACATCAGCCCAAATTATGCCGGCACCACAACTGCTATGGTGAACGGCATCGCTGCCATCTCCGGCATCTTAACGCCGTACTTGATCGGCATGGTAACCCCAGATGTAAGTTCTTGATGTTTCTTTAATTACGAATAGGTTGACTTATTATTTCATTATCCAATGTATCCAAGGAGATAATAGACTGTGTGCAATATTTAGACATGAATTCCTTTGGATATAGACCTTCCCTATCCATAGAAAAGCTTAGGGAGAAGACCACTTTCAAACGAGACTATCTTTTGGTGGTGCTATATCTTTGCTGTTATAGATTATAGGGCTCCACATGGTAAGGGATTAGGTTCTACTAGTAAAGTTAAGATGACTGACGCGGCACATTTTTCTAGTGCATTAACTATCTTCACAACCAGACTCCACTCACCACATGGGTGGTAACTTGAGGTTATTGGGTTACAACCACGCGAACACAGCACGGATAAGTGGATGTTAACGATTGCATTTGTAGCAGCTTAGTGTACTTTTCAAAGTACGTAGGAGCTGGAAGTACACTTATACGATGTTCGGGTAACTTAAAAGTAGCTTTACCCTCAAAATCACTGACGAACATCGTTATCAAGGCGCAATCGAGCTCCTTATTTAATCAATGAAGATACATAAGTGATGTTGTATGATTAGGTGGCTTAACAGATTTGGCAAAAGGTATCGATATGACAATGTTATTTAGAGTATTGATGAAATGACACATATCTTAAATGTGGCTAATTCTCTAAATAAAAATCTGTCCATTTTCTTATACAAAGTAAGCAAATATTATTTCATATTTTTTTTTATTATAATAAGGGAAGCTTAAATTATGAAACTGATTAATTATAGCCTCTGGGGTTATTGCTTCATTACTGCCTTAACTTTTCTTAGGTTTTCCTTTTCATTAGATACTTATCAGTCTTAGTAATAACAAATAATGGATACCGAACTATTTGCTAATTTTACTGAGCAATTGTGAAAATTGCAAAACGGAAAATTATAATGATTGATACATTGAGTTGAATGTTATCGCCGTTACAATGATTTTCCTTTTAGATAAAAAGGTTGTTACAGCATTGTTTTATGTTTCCATACTACCAACTATCTGTTAATAACTGTCACTTCTAACTTCACGTTTGGACAATAGCGTCAGTTCCCCACTTAACATCAGGTTGGGTATTAATACAGTAATTCCAAAAATCCTCACTGATGAAATTAATATGATGTAACTTATTAATAATAAACATTTATTTGGCAACATGAATCATAAAGAAAATATAACTAGAAAAAATTCCACGCGGACCAGGCAGCAGACGGGACTCGAACCCGCACCCTTCGCAATCCGGGCGAATGCACTGACCAATTATGCTACCGCGGCCCTCACGGACCGCGTCGAAATTCTTTCTAGCTATTCTTAAGCTGCAAGGCAGCGCCATCTCTTCGCATTATAGGTAAACCCACAATGTCAAATTAATACTTTTACTAGTTATATTTTCTTTAGATTTAAACATCAAGCAGTTACATGCTTTAAAAATAATAAAAATTATAACATGAATCATGTCAATGTTTATGAAAAGAATAATATTTATAACACGATATCTCGATACGATACGAAACTGCTGTGTAAATCTAATGCTGAATATTGCGTCAGTATCAAATACATTTTGTTAAAACTGCTTAGTTCTAAATAAAACTAAGATACTTTCCTTAACTTTTAATTTTGAACATCGTTTTGTTGATTAATTTATGCGATTTGTATTTTTTTTATATAATATGCTCTTGTTTTGTCCTTAGTCAACATTGAAGCAGTGGAGGATAGCGTTCTGGGTGTGCCTGGGGGTTCTGGTAGTGACTAACATAGTCTACGTAATATTCGCCAAAGGAGAGCAACTTTGGTGGGACGACGTTAAGAAACACGGCTACCCTGATAGTTGGAGACATGGACCACTACCTTCGAGATCGCCCGACGAAGAAGATCAAAAAGAAGAAACAAAAGAGAAGAAGTGATTAACAGCAATAATCTACGTTAGATTTAAGATAATTTATTGTGATAAAGCCTATGTTAAGAAAAAAAATATTAAAAGGAAAAGAATAAAATAAAGGTTTTTTTATTTCACATTTCTCTACAAAATCTTGGATGCTTTAAACAACATAGATTGAAAGGTTTTTAGTCAAGTTTTTATTGTATACCCAATGTGATATTTGCATAATATTTTAAAATTTCAACAACAAAATATTGAAGAATTATAGTAATTTTTTATATACGTATATTTGTAAAGACATTGAACTACTTTATTATTTAAACGTCTATGTATTTTTTCAGTTACTTGTTTTTGGTGTTCGAATAAGCAATTATTAATTAATTATAATCAGTCAAATATCAAAGAAAGAAATGCAATAATACAAAAATAAGTTTAAAGTATCAACATTGTTGTTGAATTTCTAAACATATTTTAAATGTCAATTTGAAAGACAGCGTAGTAGTTTCCCGTCCCGTCAAATGTGTAAGCAATATGACGCTCCAAACCCAGTCTGTGTTATCCCTCCATTTTATTTTTCAAGGCTGTTTTTTTCGGCTAATACTTCTCTTATTATTCAAGTGCTACTGTACACCCAGGCTTCATTTATGTCTTAAAGCAATCCTGAATAGTTTCTCTACAAAGTTATCTATATATTAGATGTGTAAATTAAAAACTATTACTAAATATGACAAAACTGAAAATAATTTTTCAACTCGTGGCAGAAATCTACGTACTAGAACTTAGATAATTAATTAGGGATTGATTCAGCTGATGCATATTTAAATATGAGTTCATATATCTATAGAAAGAATGAAAAGTTTCTTGTGAAAGGAAATTCATATTAATGTAAAGAACCAGTGTCGCCGCCGCTGCCTGCCATTTTCCCGGCAATGCGTAATACAAAAAAAAAAACAAGACAAAAGCTATATTAATCTTCCTTTGTCATATTACTCTGACTTGTTATTAACTCTTCATATTTTGTGGAAAATGTGAGGCGCACACAAGGGCCTTTTTAACTATTTCGTGAGATTAATTTTGTCTGTCTGTAACATTTTCACGCCAAAACAGCTAAATCAATTCACGATTTTTTTAATGCAAACATACTAGAGATCAGAGAAAGACAAACAGTACACAACATCCAATAAGAAAATTTAATGCGAAAGAGGAAATACGGGTAAAGGTTTGGATAATAATTTGGGTAATTTTATTGTAAGTATTCGCAGACATCCACTTATAAAATATTATACTTATATACATATAAACCTTACTTTAAACCTAATCTAACGGAGGATAAAAATTCGCCATTACATAAACAGATCACCACGGTGAGCACGATAAAGTTGTAGTAGATAATGCTATTTTAATAAAAATACTCCTTTTAGAAGGCACTTTATTTGGCGGGGGAGGCACACATATCAACTCGGAAAGGGCCTTTCGGATTGCCGTCAAACAGGATTTTACCTAACGCAAGCATGTAACGTAAGCGGATAAGCAGCTCCACTACGTTCGAATCGACTACGGCTAGGCGACGCCGCGCTTACGGCTCTGCGACTGCTAGTTGACGACAAGGCGGTACCAGTTTGATCAGTCATAGAGAAAGTAACGTAAGCTAGGGTATGGAGAGACGTAAGCTAGGTTACGGAAAGATGTAAGCTATGTTACGGAGAGACGTAGGCTAGGTTACGGAGAGGCGTAAGCTAGGTTACGGATATACGTCGGTTAGACTACGGAAAAACCTAAGCTAGTTCGGGAGCTTATCCCGAGGCAAGGTGATTACGTTACGATTACAATTAATGTGCGTTGCATTGGGGAGTTTTATAGAATGAACATTGAACAGCTGCAGTTTATACGGTGACGATCTTGATGTGTCTGTTACGATCATCAGAGTCTTCCAATAGCAAATGTCTACCTTCCTTATGGACGGAACAGGGAGTACGGACCAGTTCCAAATGCATACCCTGATAGCTGTAGCACCGAGGAGCTCGAGATTGTAATATTTTTGTTATCCATCCAGTAACAGGTTTAATTTTGAACAGTCTTGTTCGTGTTTAAAGCAAATAAATGTAAGTTTCACTTTCATATTTATCCTGGCATTATTGTGGATATTATTCAATGAAAATATCCACGGGATCAGGTTAGGTTCAGGTTAGGTAACAGTACGAGTGATATTTTTGCTATGGCAAGCGTCTATAGGCTATGGTTGTCGCTTAACATACAACAATACAAAAAACCAGTCAGCGTTATTATGTTCCTCGCATATTGCTACCCAACTACGCAGATGTATAGATTTGGATGAAAATTGAGAAAAAACACAGATAGTTTGTTACCAGGATTGAGACATATCATACTTTTTATCCCGGAAAAATGTTAAGTTCCTGTGAGATTCTCAAAAAACTAACTGAAACACGAACAAAGTTGAGGGCGGAATCTATTAAGTCATTGGTACATACATCTCTCAATTAGTGGAAAAGAAGTAATAATAATGTTCATGTTATTATAGATATAATACAAAATTTCCCAAGCGCCTAGATAAAACTTATCTTCATTTTAAGGTTGAATGGTTATCTCGTGTAAATCCTTTATGAAATACTGAAATACTTAAGATATTAAATATCTACATTTTGACATCTCATTGTAAGATCTGTAACAGATTTTACTGTATTTGCGTAAAAGATAACCATGGGTAAAGGTTACATGATAGAGAACATTACAAAGCTTTTTTTTGCAGAAGAGAAATGTTTTGGGATTGAGTTTAATAATAAGTGTAGAACCAAATGGTGTGAGTAATACATTTATTACACACATCATTTGGCATCGTTGAATTACCTTTTGATATAAATTTTATACTAAAAGTATGAAAAGTACTTAGAAAGCCGGCCTGCTACCGGGGCCGGGGTAGCGGGCGGTGTGGCGGCCAGTTGTATTTGCTTTCAATTGAAGCGAGTGGTCAAACACGCGCAACCAAAAAGAACCCACATAATAGTTTTTTTACGTACTATTTTTCCATTACTTACCAAAGACTTAATAAAGTCATCAATACATACGAGTATAATGCAAAATCGCCGCATTATTCTTCATTGTACAAATAACTTAGGTTAAAAACCTAGTTATTATTATTATTTTTTACTAGAAAAAAATCCACGTGACCCAGGCAGCAGACGGGACTCGAACCTCGACTCGAACCCTCCGCTATCCGGCCGGATGCGCTGATGCATTATGCCACCGCGGGCCTAATTATCCGTGTCGAATTTTATCTAGCATTTCTTACCTTCCATTTCTTACCATCTCTTCGCATTGAAGGTAACCCACAGTGTCAAATGAAGATCTTTACAAGTATTAAACATTTGAAAGAAGAAATAGTAATTAAGGAAAGTAAGTTAATGTTCGGAACATTTTTTATCCACTGTGTTGTATGTATTCCTATACAATACTTGAGAAGTATTGTATTCCTACAATGAGTAAAGTTTGTAAGAGTTACGGAGACCTCAGAGGGCAGCCACTGCGGGGGCTCGTAAGACTTGCGCGAGCCAGGTGTGAGGTCCGTTCGGCAGTGTGCCTCTTAAAGGCGCCGTCACGGTAATATTATCTCTATTTTCATAAAAAAAGGTCGGAAAACGTGTCATACCTACGCCACTCGAGTTCGCGCGGCACCCGGTGGGCATCCAGTCGCGAATGCGCCGCAGCGACGACCGAACGGTGTGAATTATTTTATAAGCAGTTAGCCGTGCTTAAACGTGCGAATTGTATTCTGAAAATTTGATTTAATTAAGCAGCTACCTACATAATTTAATATAGCAAAGAGCAATAGTCGATATTGTGCTGTTTTTGGTTGCTTGAACTCTTCAATAATAAAGTTTTTCGTACGTCTCAGCCGAGGCGTAGATATTTTTCTGTCTCAAATCTATATTTTTTTTATTAAATATTACCCAAAACTAACATGTATTTTATTGAACACTTCCTAATTCATTCACAACATTTTTTTTACATATAAAATAAAATATTTACAATCACAAAACTAGAATGAAACTCAATTATGTAGATGAAATTAAAATACGGTAGGCGGGCAGCCCTACCGCGTGTTTACGCCTCGCTTGGCCGTAGGCAATTATTTCAAGGACAGGGCCGAGTCACAATACTGTATAGATAATATTACCGTGGCGCTGTCGTCTGTAAATAGTGGTTTTGCCTGCCTTAAAAAAGGCTCCAGAGGATAGGGGTGGGGTTAGAGTTTGCAACTTGTGACTAATACTCTGGTATTGCTTCATAATGTCAGCTATGATGGCAGCTTACTCTCAGGTCTGACATGATTTTGTATATCTCCCAATATATTTACTTCTTATTTTTATTGATCTCAAAGATGCCTCAGCTTTGGTGATTTGCCGCAGAGTGACCCTGAAATTGATAAAAAGAGATAGTGTTATGGTACAGTATGTTTATTAAATATTCTCATTTCGTGATTTAGATAATAGAATAAAATGCTTCGTTCTAAATTTTTTTGATAAGCTAACATGTCAAATATACCATAGCATTCTAACTGCAGCTAAACTTTCTCCATTCACATTTGGATTTTCTTATCTTACTAACGACCGTACTCAGAGACATCAATTAATTTTGAAGTCTGATTAAAGTTAATGTCGCTTTATTTTCGAATAAAAGTGTCGTGTTGACTTGGAAAAGCATAAACCTTAATTGACGTTTAACATTCGCAATGCTACCTACACTTGTCACACGTTTGAATTCAACAAAAAGATATGATTATAGACATGATTAACTTATCTTTTACCTTATCCAGACTCACTCGAAGACGTACGTAAAAGTTATCTCATTAGTTAGGTTCACAGTTATTTCTCGGTTAACATTTCCTAATTCTATGCTTACAACTATTATTTTTTGACATTTTCATGAAAAAATATACCTAGAGACTTAAATTAAAAACAAAAAATATTCTTAAAAGAGTAAAATGGACCTCATGACTGCTTATTATTACAGCCCGTAAATACAAGAATTCAATGATTTCGTCAGTCTCAAAGGCGAGCAGAAACCTAATTTTACTTTTCGATGAACAATTAGTACTTTTATAATATTGTGTAAGTCAATATGTCTAGGGGCTCCGTTAATTTATTAGTTTATCAGAAAAAAGAATGGTAGAGATATTCTTCGCGAATGTTGTGTGTGCAGCCTACTAATATTATTAATGCGAAAGCTTGCTCAATCAAGCAACAAAAACTGCTAAACGGATTTAAATAAGATTTGGCACACATATATACGTTTGTTAGCTGGCCTAAGACATAGGATACTTTTATCCCAAAAAATGTTAGCTTCCTGAGGGATTCCAAAAAAACTATAGTTAACGCAGACGAAGACGCGGGCGGCCGCTAGTAAGTCAAAAAAATATATCAAAATATAATTATTTTTCAATATTGAAAGTGACTTTAAAAATTTCGCACAAAAAAGATTAGTCGCGATATAAGTGAACCTAATTTAGTAAACCAATCCCTTGTTTATATTTTCTGATGATGTTATGAGTGACTAAACACGATTGCCTGTGTGCTGTTTATATAATCTTACGGATTGTCGTTTAGTAGCACCTATTGATCTATCTCTAGAAGTATATTAGGTACACTCATATGATTTTTTTTGATAGTTTTGTGCAATGGTGTTAAAAGGATGGCGTCTCATTTTGAACAGAGGTAAGAAATAACAAGTATTGTATATACGAAGGTAATATGTAAATATAGTTGTTAGCACTAATTATGGTATTTTTGTTATTGATCTTTCTTATAACAAGTGAGAACGTCAACTTTTCGTATTAAAGATAACAAACTAAAAACAATCATGAAAGAAAATGGCGTATATTTATTATTTACCCATTTCATTGATGAATTCAAAAAGTCAATAATGTCAGCAATACCTACTTGATAGAATTTAAATTCACAGATATCAAATTGGACTAAACAGATAGAATTTTATAAATAAAAATCAAAAACAGTTGAACAATGTTGTTTATATAATATATTTCGGCGTTGAGTTCGTTGTGTGATCAATTTATTAAAGCTTTTCTATTTTCTGCATCTTCAGTTATCTTCATACCCCAAAGATACGTATTGGGAATAATGGGACTATTTGCACTCGCAAACTCTTTTACTATGAGGGTGTGCCTTTCCATGACAATTACTCAAATGGTCCTTCACTCCGAATCATCAGAACACATCGTAGGAGAGACTTGTCCCGATCCGCAATATGTTGGAATGATGAATAATACAATCATTGAAAGTACAACCACGTCAACTCTGCTGGAGGTAGGAATTGTTTAGTTTTTGTTTTAGAGAGGCCATACATGGATGGCTCGAGCAGCTAGCCAGTGATCAACATGCATGGACTGCTTGAGCAGATAGAGTCAACGGCTTAAAACTGCCATTAAACTGCGCTACTAATCGCTCCAACCGCCTGCCAACCGCACTTGCTTGAACGGTGCATGTATGTGTGTACGTAACAGACTGTAGTTCACTATATAGTAGCAGCTTAAAACAGTCTATCCTGACTGCTTCAAGCAACCCCTGAATGGCGGCTCTTAATCTAACAAAGCTCGTAAAATAAATGTCAAAAACTCCCTATATATTATATCTAACTATAAAATTTCAGCGTCGTGAGAAGTACGACTGGAATGAAGCAACGCAAGGCTTACTCCTCAGCGCCTTTTACTATGGGTACGTGTTAACACACCTGCCGGGAGGTCTTCTAGCTGAAAAATTTGGAGGAAAATGGACGTTAGGCATTGGATTACTAAGCACTTCTATAGCTACTGCACTCACACCTTTAGCTGTAAGTTTAGGCGGGGCAGTTGGCTTATTCATCATCAGAGTTATTGAAGGAATGGGTGAGGTGAGTCAAGCAGTTTCATTTGATTCCATATTTTATTCAATAAGTATAGTCATTTCAAATAGCAAGGAAAAATTTAAAATGGAGTTTGTTAAAACACTAAAAGGAGTCTGATCAGTGAATGCGTTAGTGTAGAAATATGCAGGTATAGTTTTTTTTGGAGTGTAAGTGTGTGTGTATCTGTGTCTATGCATAATTATGTGGGTGTGTATAGGTATGTGAGTATGTATATGTATTAATGTCTTTCTACATGTTAAAACTCCTTGGAGTTACTTGTTTGTATATTGATTTTTATTTTTTTTCTCATGGGAGTTACTTAATTTATTCGTTGGCATATAATGATTCATCGCTGATGTACACTTACTATTGTTAAATTAAGGGAAACCTGTAATTGGCCATACTTACCTGTAAAATACTATCTGTTATTTGTTGATGTATACGCTGTCGGTTTTCTTAATAAAATAAAATAAATTATTATAAGTTCAAAGTAGAACTGGAAGTATTTATTTTTATCAATTAAGAAATGAACACGTATCTTAACAATTAATTGTTCACGTTCTATGGTGTAGTTAAGAAATCAGATCTTAAATAAATCATTTCATAGTATCCTATCGATATAGGTATATCGATTGAAGAGTGAATGAATTAGTGAGATCTAGACTTGGCAAACTTTGTTGTATCTGCTAAAGAATAAATTAAAACTTCAATATGACGTCTTCCAGGGTCCTGTTACTCCAGCATTTGTGTTACTCTTAGCAAGATGGGTACCGCCATCAGAAAGATCAAGATTTGGTGCAATGATATTTGGTGGTGCGCAAATAGGAAACATTTTCGGACCATATTTGTCGGGACATTTGTTGGCGAATAATGGAGATTGGGCGAATGTCTTTTATTTATTTGGTGGACTTGGAGTAATTTGGTTTATATTTTGGGTAAGTTAGAACACACATTTTGAACTTTGATTTAAAAAAAGGTTACTTATAAATTATGAAGATTACTGATGATTTTTTTTCTATTCTAGGTTTTACTTTGTTATAGCACACCAAATACTCATCCATTCATATCAGAGGAGGAGAAATTGTATTTGAATAATAATATTGCAGCTTCAGGACTACATAAGAAATTGGATCCAGTACCCTTTAAAGCTATACTAAGATCCCCTCAACTATGGGTTTTAGTTTTGGCTGCTGTATGTCTACTGTAATCTTTGTTTATTTATTAACTGAATCAGTTTTCATGGGCAGCTGTAGTGTTTACATCCGTCATTACGTCTTTGCAGGTCGGTCATGATTGGGGCTACTTTACAATGATTACTGATTTACCGAAATACTTTTCTGATGTCTTAAAGTTCAACATCCAGGAAACTGGGCTAATGTCGGCCCTACCGTACATCGCTATGTACGTGTTTTCGTTTATTTTTGCATCTCTTTGCGATTTATGCATTAAGAAGAAATGGCACAGTATCACTACAGGAAGAAAAATTTATACAACAATTTGTGAGTGTTCTAAATAGATTTACTATCAAAAATCAACATTTTGCTGAAAATCTGCAGGAGAAATTCTATAAAAGTATCAAATAGGTCCTACTTGACGTAAATCATATTAAATACTTTGTTGTACGGACACATATATTTATACTGTTTATAAAACCAGTAACATTGTTAAGATATCATCAAAACCTTGAAATAATCTAAGACAATTTACAACTTCCGTCAAAACTTTCCTGTTTGAGACATCCTCAATGCTCTTATGATTCCATACTATCCTTACTTGGACTATTACAGTAAAATGAGGAAACACAATCTTTGATTCAGTAATTAGCAAACAGTGAACTGCACGAATCGTTCACGGCGAAGGTTTTTCTTGCAGCGTCTACCTTGCCGGCAGTTTTTGTAATTCTGGCCTCGTATTCGGGCTGCAACCGCGTGGAGGCTGTTGCCCTCTTCATAGCGTCGATGGCTTTCATGGCGGGTTTTTATAGCAGCGTTAAAATCAACGCTATGGATATAGCCCCGAACTACGCGGGCACATGTTCGGCCTTTGTGAATGGATTGGCTGCCATATCGGGTATTATCACGCCATATTTGGTTGGACTATTGACGCCTGATGTAAGTATGATAGCAAACATATCAGGTAGTGGCTTATTACCGTTCATAGGAAGTCTCTGAAAAAAGTGCGTAAATATAAGTTATGGCATAACTTGAGTTTATGTCTTTGCTTAGAAATTATAATGAAGTTCGTTAACCTTTTTATCTACAATACCTTTTGAAGCAATTGTGTTTGTTGATAGATTTTACGTGGAAAAACGTGACGCTTATCTCTGTTTTTTAATACCACGAGAGTATGAACTCAGAATCTTATTTTGTTTTATATTACTCTTACGTAGATTAATTAATGATCACTATGTTAAGGAAATGAAGTCTCCCGACTTTTTTCCTAAATTAAAGAGTTAACGGAAATGTAAATTTAACGCTTGATAAATTTAACAGATCAGTTGAAAAACGAAGCATAACAAACTTTTCCGTGATCTAATTAATATAAAGAAAAAAATGCTTGCCGTACAAATAAAAATAAATGTTAAGATTAATTCGATTTTAAAACTGAAACATTTCTTTCGTGTTACTGTTAACTTTTTACAGATGAAAAGAAAACAAGTTTTTTAGATTTTATTGCGAGTTCTTTGTTACAAGATACTTTATTACCAGATTTTCAGCTCGAGCCTAAGCTGCAGTTTGTGAAATTAATTTCTACTTAAAGAACACCACATTGAAACATCACTAGTTTTTGGTGGTGTTGTCTTTCTGTGGGTGAGTTTTCTAGGGCTCCATGGGAATAGAGTTTTACGTTTGGGCCTTCTAACTGACTAAAGACTTCACAACTTTTGTATTCGAGGGTTATGTAGACCGGTTTTCTAGGTACTGCCTTCTCTGATGTCCTGGGTTCGAGTCCCAGCAGGGGAAATGTACGTATCATGAATACGAGCCAATGCTCGTATTCATGATACGTACATTTCCACATAATCAATTATGTCATACCTGATTCATGACTGTTTATATTTATTTACGCAATAGTATAGGTACTTGTGTATGTATTCGTCTACCTAGTATCCTGTAACAAAAGCTTTTTAGGACTTTAGGACTACCAAAGGCTTTTGTTAAGGGATACGGGGTCTTAGGTATTAATTGCATAAAAACGTTCCATTTCTCTGACGCGTTAGCTACGACTTTCTCCGAAACTAAACTTATACTTAATAGGAAGGGATAGTAACAAAAACGAAATAATAATAAATTTAAAATTTTCAGCAAACAATAAGTCAATGGCGTATTGCATTTTGGACAGTATTTGTAGTGATGGTAGGCACAAATCTGGTTTACTTGATTTGGGGATCTGGCGAGCAGCAATGGTGGGATGACGTTGACAAGTATGGCTACCCAAAAGGATGGAAACATGGACTGTTGAAAAAGCGAAGACCAGATTTGGAGAAGAAAGTGGTTTATCCGAAACATGACCATTCACCTATAGCTCACGATTAAATTGTATAATTAAACAATTTAGTTTGTATACTTCTTATTTTAAGTTATTTACCGAAATAAAATCAAGGATTAATTTCGATTGTTGTGGCGACTCGATTTCATGCCTAATAACAATGACACAAAGAATAGGAGTAATTTATTAAAAACATCACCAAACGAAAATTATCTAGTATCTTGTAAACTAGTACTTTCATATATTATACTACCGGCGGCAGTCCGCGACTTTTTCCACGTTAACTTTAGTTTTTAGAGAATTCCACAGAAACCTTCAATTTTTCTGGGATAAAAAGCAACATGTGTCTCTGTTCAGGTCGTAAACTGTAAGCGTATCCAATTTCATCCAAACTCTTTCAGTAGTTTTGCGTGATCGAGTAAATAACAAAGACTATTTAATTTTAATTTATTTCTATTTATATTTGTGTGTACAAAATGTATAAATAAATAAACAAAGACACAAACTACAAACTTTCTCAGTTATAATATGAGTAGGATAATTAATTTAAAAGGATAACAATGGAGGATATTTTTTTCCTATTCTATCTAAGGGAAAGGCCTGTGTCCTAGTAGCGAGAACATTAATAAGCTACTAATTATGATTAATTTTTATTTCGCCCGTCTGGCAGAAAGCATACCCTTTATCATAAATACCTTGCTTGAGTGGAAGATCAAGCTCGCATTGCCTGCACTACGGTGTAGGAGAGGGGGTCAGAGTATTTTTTGTTAAAGCGAGGTAGGCATATGACTCTACCCCACCTGATTTTAAGACGCGAAGATAGCTGGTGCAGCAGTTATAAACTGCTATACCAACCATCCTCAATTTGCTGGCCTGCAACAAAGCTTCTTCACGCCTCTCTTAAAGGACCCCGACTATAGGAAGGAGGGAACACGTAAATATATCTTTATATAGCATATATGTAAACCTAGTATATTTATGTTAAAAGGTTGCAAACAAGCATTAATTAAATAAAAATTACTTAACAGGTCACAGATTATATAGTCAAAAGTATAAAAATTCAATTAAAATTAGGTCATATTAAAATGTGAAGCAAAAATATAATTAAATCAGTATATGTCACTCAAAATCTCATCCACCAAAATTAGTATTATTTATATATTAGCTATTATAATTCAAGAATTCCTGGACCGAGTAGAATTTACGTTCAATGAGCCATCTACTCGTATGTAGTGTTATTTTAAATCTACTGAAAGGCAAATCTCTTATTGAATGTGGAATATTATTAGACGGTTGTGATACCAAAAATATCGCTCGCACCATTGCCTACCCTGACCCAATGCCCTACCCCGTGGAGCCCTGAAACCTTATTCACAGAAACACTACCGTGTCAAAAAGTAGTGTAATTTTACTGTGGCCTTCTGTAAGTTAGAGGTTACTTCCACCGGCGCTCCAGTTCGAGCGGTTAATCCGCTATGCCCCATCTCTTTTTAATCCTTACACTTAATATGTTCATTTTAAATCACACCCAAATTATGATATTTATAATTATCAATATCACGAACAATCAACATAGGTATTTGTCCTCGATACCAGTCAAGTGTGGTGAATCAGTTTTTAAAAACTTCACGCATGCCTTTATTGCGAATCAAGAAGTTTTGCATAAACCGATCGATTGAGAATGCATTATGGTAAAGGAACTGAACACAAATGAAATTATAAAAAAAATACAAAGTATTGACGATGTAAACCCCATCCCCAATTCTTTGTTATTGAAAATAAAAATATATATTTTTATCTTACTCAACAAGCTCTAGGCAAGGATGTTTCACATGCTGGGGTAAAAAAGAAAAAAAATTTCTCCTCTTCATTTAAGGAAAAAAATAAATGAATTTTTAACTAAAATTTCGGCCTTGTCTTCTGTCACTCATTCCGTTTGCGATATAGAGACCCGTGACATACGGACAGACAGAAAGGCAGGCAGATGACAGAGTGACGGCAATTATTTCTTACATTCACACCAAATAGCTAAGTAGCAAAATAAGTAGGTACTGTAAGGCCTGTTTTATGGAATATTAGGGCAACTAATGACGTATAATATATAGACCGGTTTTACGCCAACATTATTGGCAACAGCCGCCAATAGTGAAGTCTTCTGCATAAAGCAGATTACATATCGATTTAGCGTCTTTGTGTCAACGGTGTCAGCAACTGTCAAAAAAAGTAATAACTATAAAAAAAAAATACATTCATTTCTTTAAAACTGTACTTACGAATAAAATGACACTTTTTTACAACTCTAATAGTTCTTGTGTAATTTGAGTACTATCTCAAATTAGGGCTTATTATCTGGAAAAACGTAAAATATTTACACGTTGTAGTGAAGTGTAGCAGCGGCGAGGGAACGTGCCCGCCTTAATGTAAATCGGGCAATTACCTGTTTTTTGTATTGCCAAATTAGAAACGTGTATTACGTATCTGCATATAACAATAAAACATCATAGAGGGCAACTTACATTTGACGATACATAGATAAGTATAGTTTTGCCTTAGGTAAAAAGCTTGTATTCAACATACAAACTTTTGCTCCCACTGGGATTGGAATTCAGGACCGCTGTAAATGCGACAACCTGAAAACTAGTGTAAGTATCCATCCACCACGGACGTTGTCGACTTGCATAAGCTAGACCAGAAAGGTCACCAATGCTTTGCCGGCCCGAAAGTACCCAGTTAACATGACTCTCTAAGAACCTTTGAAAAAGATAAGGCTTAGCAGGTTTTCTGCTCGAATTGGAGCGCCCGTCTGGGGAAGTAACTTCTACTTACAGATGATTAAAGTAAAATAGCTCCACTTATTGTGTTTCTGTTAGTGAGTTTGGTTCCAGTGCTCCACGGGGTAGGGGATTGAGTCAGGGTAGGTAACGGTATGAGTGATATTTTTGGTATAGCAAGCGTCTATAAGCTTTGGTAACCGCTTACCATCTGGCAGGCCATAGGCTTGTTTGCCACCCTTCAAAAATATTAAACCCCAATATGGAAGCGCAATGGAAACACCTTAGAGTATCACTTATCCCACCCACATCCTACATTTTTTACGAAAGAAGATACTAGATGCCTACACGTTCTTCGGATGTCAAGCGTATAGAATATGAGGATGAGCAAAACACTCCTTTGCTCCAGTACTCCCACTGACCGAAAGAAATACAACACGACTAAAAAAGTAATGTTATTATTTCACTGTGGATCCAATCCAATACAATCAAAGGATATTCTTAGTTACAAGTGAACAGTAGCTACGTTGTCGTGACTGTTAATCATCAACTAATTGGGTAACCTCAATGTACTTTAGTGACTGAGCAGTGAACCGATTCACTTGTTCACAGTCTGGTTTAGCTCCAGGACAGCATAGTCGCTCAATCAGTATTCTTTAGGTATTGTTCGGATGTAGATGTAATTGCTTCCATCAGAAGGTAACGAATGCTTTATAAGGTGGTCAAAGATTATTTTATGGCCCAGACACACAAATCTGTACATTCGAAAGGTAGTGGGAAAAATAATTGCTGCAGTTTCAGAAATGCTGATTTAATATTTTCGCTATTTATGAAGATATATGTTAAGGTAATGCGTAATAAATATATATGTAAGCTAACACTCATTATGAAATGATTTTTTTTTCTTATTCCCATAATAAAATTTAATAAGCTAATGTACATTAAGAGTGTCCCGTTTAATGACAAAAAAGTAATACTCCTTTACATAAATAAGTACACAATTAATTACATTACATAAATTTAATCACAATTCACAAAAGTATCAATTTCATATCTGCATGTATATATCTTTGATCTTTGACACTAAATCGGACAATGTCACGGTGCGCAGGAGCAGGCATAACGCCTCAATAGTCGAGCGCGGGCCGCTCGGCAGTCACCCGTCTGTCTGTTTGCTATTTTACTTCACCGCTATCACACGTGTGACATCTCAAGTGCATTCACCGGGAAACCGACGGCAAATATTCGAAACAAAAACGCGAACAAAAGACTGTCTAGAACGTGAGTATTACTTATTTTTTATATACCAAACTTTTTTGTCATTTGAACTTTTACAAATGTTAAAAGTGAATGTAGATAATGTCCTTTATGAGAGCAGTGTTTATTTATATAAATTCATTTTATTTCAACTGCGATCAGCTGATACAGCTGTCGGTACATATTACAGGTGACAAAGCGTTTCTTTCAATGTGACTTACTTATTTATCAACATTCAACATACATAGTTTCAGTGTCATGATAAATAAACACATGAAGATTAGTTTCATATTCTCTAACATAGTTTCAGCCTAGGTATGCACATTGCACATATTGATAAAGTTGCAATTTCTGGCTTAAAAATATTATGTTAAATAAATGATTCAGTGTTGTTACTTATTATTATATTGCCAATGCGTATCTGTAATTTTTATTCATTAAGTACCGCAGACCTTCACCAAACTCTACATTTGCGACATTACACCCAAGTGTTTTAATATCCTTCTCTTGCATCCTCCAGTGACTATTATTCTCTCTCTCTCTTTCATATTCAACCTTAAAAGATCAATCGTAAAATTTCGCAAACGTCAATTAAACGATCGTAAACATGCAATTCGAATTACAGCTGTTGAGATTGCAAGAGTTGAATAATAAATATCTATAGATTTTAAATTACCGACCAAGTCCTAGTTTCGGGGACTCGGGTTTTTAAACAAAAGTATTCAAAAACGCATCTTAAGGCCATTGAAACAGTGTTTGTGTCATATGTAGAAAAAGAAGATTTTAAAGGGGATTAACAAAATTTATTTATGGTAAATTAAATAACAAATTTAACATATATAGATAGGTAATAACAAATTTAAAATAAAGTACTTGGGCGCCAGATCTTCAAAACTTGCCAATTTGTTTATATATATATTTTTTATTTTTCCTTAGATTAAGAATTTAGACTAAATGAAAGCTAATTTGCTTTCATTCTTATATTAAAGTATAATTTCGGCTTACCAGGCTAAATCCAT